TTGCAAAGCTAGTGTAGAGCGTTCCTTCACCCGTCTTCCCCTAATGTTACCATCGTACATAACCACAGAACAGTTACCAAAATCAAGAAGTTAATGTTGGTACAGTACTATCAGTTAAACTGGAGACTATTTAGATTTCAGCAGTTTTTCTATTACTGCCCTTTTTCTGTTCCAGGATCCGGTTCAGAATCCCACATTGCATTTAGTCGTATCCCTAGACTTTTCCAGTCTGTGACAGTTCCTTAGTCTTTCTTTGTCTTTCATGGCCTTGACACTTTTGAAAAATAATGTTCAGGTATTTTGTAGAAGATTTCTCAATTTGTATTAGGTGTTTTTCATGACTGGATTGAGATCATGGATTATTTGTGTGTAATGTATATCTCCTCAGTGCATCATATTAGAAGGTACATGTTATTAATTTTCTTATTAATTTATTACTGTTGATGTACAAGATATGAATAGAGTCCCTTTTTTGTTTTTGTTTTTTTGGGTCCATGGATAACCAATTGTTTCACCACAATTTACTGAAAAGACTGTCCTTTCTGTATCTTGTCAAAAATCTATTGACAGTGTATGCAGGTACTTCAAAAAGTTTGTGGAAGAATAGAATTAAAAGGTATGATGAGGGGCCGGCCCGGTGGCGCACTGCTACAGTGCGCCGCTTGGGAGCGCGGTGGCGCTCCCGCCGAGGGTTCGGATCCCACGTACAGACCGGCCGCTCACTGGCTGGGCGAGATGCAGGAGCAACACCGAGGGTTGCGATCCCGTTGCCGGTCCCGGTACGGTACGGGTGCGACACTGAGGATTGCGATCCATTGCCGGTCACGAAAAAAGACAAAAAGGGGGAAAAAAAGGTACGGGTGCGACACTGAGGGTTGCGATCCATTGCCGGTCACGAAAAAAGACAAAAAGGGGAAAAAAAAGAGACAAAAAGGGGGAAAAAAAAAAGGTATAATGAATCTTTCCGTGAACTTTTTGAAGTGTCCTCATATGTGTGGGTCTGTTTCTGGACTCCCATTCTGTTCTGTTTGTCTGTGTGTCTCTCCTTTCCTCAATGCCACGCTGCCTTGATTATTATAGGTGTTATAAGTAGTTTTGAAATTGGGTATTATGAATTCTCCATCTCTGTTTTTCTTTTTCAAAATTGTTTTAGCCATTCCAATTTCTTTGCCTGTCCATAAAATTTTAGACTTGTCATTCATTATCTACTAAAAAGTCTGCTCAAATTTGTATGGGGACTCTGTTGATATGTAGATCTTAACAGTATTGAGTCTTCCAGTGCATGTGTGTAGTAGGTCTGTCCTTTTATCTAGGTCTTTGATTTCTTTTATTAGTTGCTTGTAGTTTTCAGCATAAAGATCCTGCAATTATTTTTTTTTAGATTTATACCTACTTATATAATGTTTTTTGCTATTGTAAATTATACTTTAAGTTTAAAATTACTATTTTTTTATTGCTAGTATATAAACACAATTGACTTTTGTATATTGACCATGTATGCATCTTCTGCACTTATTAGTTCTAGTATATTTATTTGAGATTCTTTTGAATTTTCGATATAGACAATCATGTCATCTGCAAAGAGAGTTTTCCTCCTCTCCTCCCTCCTTCCCTCCCTTCTTTCCTTCCTTTCTTCCTTTCTTTTTTTTCTTGTCTAATTTCACTGACCAGGACTTACATGCTGAGTAGGAGTGGTAAGAGAGGACACTTGCATCATGATTCTCATCTAAGGAGGAAAGCATTATTTCTTTTTAGCCATTAAGTTTGCTGTTGGTCATAGGTTTGTGGTTGGTCCCTTTCATGAGTTAAATGAAATTCCCTTTTATTCCTAGTTTGCTGAGAGTTGTTGTCATGAATAGGTGGTGACTTTTGTTAGATACTTTTCCATCTTGAGATACATTTTTTTCCTTTATTCTGTTAATATGGTAAAATATAGTGGTTGATTTTTGAACGTTGATCCAGCTGTCTATTTCTGGTATAAACACTACTTGGTTGTGATACAGTTTTTTTTTTTTGTCTTTTTCCATGTCCGGCAACGGATCGCAACCCTCAGTGTCACCCCCATACCGGACCGGGACTGGCAACGGGATCGCAACCCTCGGTGTTGCTCCCGCGCCTTGCTCAGCCAGTGAGCGGGAACCGGTCTGCATGTGGGATCCGAACCCTCGGGCGGGAGCGCCGCCGCGCTTCCCAAGTGGCGCACAATCCATTGCGCCACCGGGCTGGCCCGGTTGTGATACAGTTTTAAAAATATGTTTCTGGATTCAATTTGCTAGATTGATTAATATATGGATTTCCATGTCTCTGTTTGTGGGAAATATGGGTCTATGGTTTTCTTTCTCTCTTTTTTTATTGAAACATAATTGATTATACATATTTTGGGGGTACGATGTTGATTACCATCACCTGTGTACGTGTAGTTTCTTTCCTTATAATGTTTTGTTTGGTTTTTGTATTTGAGTGATGCTGGTCTCATACAGTTGAGTCTTAAAAACAAGCTAGTCTGACAAACCTCTGTCTTTTAATTGGTGCATGATTTAGTCAGCTCCAGCTGTTATAACAAAATACCATAGATTGTGTGGCTTAACAATAGACATTTTGGTGAGGTTATTTGTATTGGCCTCTCCAAGTTTTTTTTACTCTTTCCTTAGCTGTCTTTGAAAGCCCATATTTTTCATATTTAAGATTCATATTTGATTGTGTCTTATAATTTTCAACTCTCTGCTGAACTTACCCATGTAGTCTTTTATGTTGTTTGCCTGTTCTGTTAGGACTTTTAACATATTATTCATGATTTTAAAATAGTCCCTGTTCAGTGGTTCCAGTGATGTGCCACATGAGCTTGGTTCTGTTGATTGCTTTGTTTGTTGGAAGTGTGCTATTTTTCTTGCCCTTTCATATGTCTCATACACTTTTTGTTTTCAAGTTGGCCAAGTTTAGGTCAGTAGAGACTGAGGTGAAGTTTTTGTGTGTTTGGAAGTGGGCATTCCTTTACTTATGCTAGGCATTTCTTGAATGTAACCAGGAGTTGGGCTTGAGTTGAGGTGTGTTGTTTCCTTGCTTACCCTCAGTGTAGCACAGGCTTCAGATTCTTTAGCGCTACCTGGTTATAGCGTGGCTGCTGGTTTGCCAGAGGTTTTAGCTCAATGTCTGATCCACGCTAAGCTTTAGGGTTTCCCCTGGCCCTGCCTTGCAGCAAGGCTCTGTAGTATGATCTTGCGCTCTTCCAGCAGCATTCTACTATTCGTTGCTACTGGATATTTGTTAGCCTGGGTGGGTGGCTGGGGCAGAGGGGTGCACATTTTGTGTTGTTTCTGATTAAACCTCTGCCTTGGCTGGGCACTGTATCCTTGGTTCTTGAGGATGATTCTCAACACTCCTGTGCCTTCACCAGGGGTGAAGGGTTTTTCTCTTTTCTTTCCCCCACTGCTATGGGTTTTCACCTTTGCTCTAACAATAATGATGTTTGCTGACCTTCCCTCCCAGATTAAGGCTTTCACTCCATGGATATTGGAGAGTAGCTTCCAAGTGGCATTTCTGATCTTTTCCTCAGGCCTGTGCCAGGAGGCAGGCCTCTTTCTCTGGTCCTGTCAGTATGCGAGAGAATATTTTCCCATCCTTACCAGTACTGAGTATTATCGAAGTTTTAAATATTTTCCTATGTGATAAATGAACATGTTAGTTTGTTATCTTAACTAGTAATTTGTTGATTTTGATTGAGTGAATGTATTTAATGACATAACACTAGAAACATTTTAATTGAATACTAGAATCTAACAAGGTTGACTTAATTCCATCATATTATTTAATATTTTTATGGACATTCTAGCCAATGTGAGGAGACATGAAATAGAAGAGCAATAAAAATATTGTAAGGGGACACTACATCATAAGTTATGACTACATACCTAGGATGGCTAAGAAAATAACTGGAAAAATCTTAGAACCTGTAAGAGAATGGAGGAAAGTGACTGGACACAGGAAAATGATACAAAAATACGGACTACATACCTAGGATGGCTAAGAAAATAACTGGAAAAATCTTAGAACCTGTAAGAGAATGTAGGAAAGTGACTGGACACAGGAAAATGATACAAAAATACGTTTTTTAAAAAAACTGGTAATAGCCAGATAAAATGAATAATGGGAAATAGTCACTCATAGTAAGGAAGTAAAAAGATGAGAGATCAAAAATAATCTGAGAGGACTTTGTGGTTCTCCAAAAGGGTAACACAGCTTTTCTCAGAGCTCCCACCTCTCATGTGACTGATGAGACGTATAACATAATAAGAGAATGCATCACTTTGGGTGGAACTTGATCAACCATGAAAATTCATAGAAAGTAGAGTTACAAAAATGACCATCATTTCTATCTAAGCATGCTGACTTAGCATGTGACTTTTCTAGTTCTGTTGATTGTAAGACGTACAAGGCCTGGGGCTGTGGCTGCAGTTTTTTCCAGTTGAACAGAGTGAAACAAAGTGTCTACTTCCACTGAAAGTTGATCTCTCTCCACTTTTGCTCCACAAAAGATATAGGAGAGAATATTCCAGGTGGAGTTTCTTGTCCTTTTCCCAGGCCTGTCAAGAGGCATTCTTTCCCAGGCCCCCTCAATGTGATTTCCAAACGTAAGTGTTCTGGCTCTCCTGACTCACTTCATGAAATGTTGACTTAAGTGGTAGTGAGGAGGTGGTGACAGGTGGCCTTGTGTCTGTGTGTACACAGTTAACATGACTAAAAGCAGGAGAGTGTTGTGTCAACCTGTAACTGGAGTTGACTGAATTAGGGGCCGGGGGCTGGGCAGAGATGTTGGATGACTTCTCTATCCACCCCTCTCTGCTAGGTGTCATGACCTAAAATAAGTTGGAAAATGCTGCCATAAACAGTTGAGCTTTTAGGAAGAACCACCTCTGATATGATTTTATGGACCTTCTCATTGTGGTTGACTCGCTGAGATCTTACCACAGGGAGTCCTTTAGAGCTTTGTGTCTTGTTCCTAGGCACCACACCAATCCCGTGGGCACTGAGTGGCGGTGGAAGATGGACCAGCCTGAAATGATCTTAAAGGAAGCCATCGAAAACCATCAGAACATGATTAAGCAGTTCAAAGGTATTTATCTTCCCTCTACAAAGGAATGCTAATGCCTATTCATAGCCTGAATCAAATTGCAGAGGAATTGCGTCTTGGGTGACATTTTGTTCCACTGGCAAATTTTCCTATAGGGAATGGAAACTTCATAGAAGGATTGTACATATTTTGGCCTTTTTAGCTTTTATATACAATATGATGGAAGAACTAAAAATTTAATCTGAAGCCTTGCTATTTATAATATGATGCACTCCACCTGTAAGTTTTGTTTGGGATAGTATCATCATCCTTCCTAAAAATCTTTGCTATTGTACTGTCTTGGTGAGCACAAAGCAGGCTTATGAACGGACTGGAAATTTTAGGTTATTGAAAAATTCTTAAATAATGTCAGTTAGTGTTGGGAAGGCATTTTGAATGACTACCTTATTAAAAGGTAGGGATAATATTAAGAAATTTCTTCCACATGATCGATACACAACATAGTAAAAGTTCTGCCATTCAGTTTATAGAATTTCCTGATTCACTTCTGTCTCATACTGAAAGATGCTTGGGCACAAAGCAGGCTTATGAACGGACTGGAAATTTTAGGTTATTGAAAAATTCTTAAATAATGTTAGTTAGTGTTGGGAAGGCATTTTGAATGACTACCTTATTAAAAGGTAGGGATAATATTAAGAAATTTCTTCCACATGATCCATACACAACATAGTAAAAGTTCTGCCATTCAGTTTATAGAATTTCCTGATTCACTTCTGTCTCATACTGAAAGATGCTTGGCTTTGCTGCGGACTGCTGGTTCTCAAACTTTACTGTGCATCAGAATAATTTGGAGACCTTGTTAAAACAGATTATTCGTCTCCTTCTCCAGAGATTGACTCAGTAAGCCTGAGGTAGAGCCCAAGAATGTGAATTTCTAACAAGTTTCTGGGTGTTATTAATGTTGAACTGGGGACCACATTTATTTATTTTTTTTTTCCTTTTTGTCTTTTTTCGTGACCGGTAACGGGATCGCAACCGGTAACGGGATCGCAACCCTCGGTGGTGTGCCCGCACCGCACTCAACCAGTGAGCAGACCGGTCTCTATATGGGATCCGAACCCGCGGCGGGAGCGCCGCCTCGCTCCCAAGCACCGCACTCTACCGAGTGCGCCACTGGGCCGGCCCGGTGACCACATTTTGAGAAATACTACTATATATATGGTACACTTACAAAGCGATGGCTTTATGAAGTGAAATTTGTTAGGTTCCCTGTTAAATCTGTATGCTCCTGTCTCCACCTATTACTGGTGACTCATTCTCTCCTTATTCTTCTTTTCTTTCAAATGCCACAATTAAAAAGTAATTCCAACTAAGGTTGTTTTGATATAAGCACTCTTATGGTGTTAACAACACATAGGATAGTGGGAGTCTTTATAAATCCCAGTAATTAGCATTCTGAAGATCAGGTGATTTTAAATGCAATGAAATCTGTTCTGTTTGAGTCACTCATTTTTAAGATTATAGTACTTCTTATTACTGTTTTTCTTTCTTTCTTTCTTTTTTTTTTTTGTCCTTTTTGAGACCGGCCACACCGCACTCAGCCAGTGAGCGCTGTGAGCGCACCGGTCATCCCTATATAGGATCCAAACCCGCAGCAGGAGCACTGCTGCGCTCCCAGCACCGCACTCTCCTGAGTGCGCCACAGGCTCGGCCCCTGTTTTTATTTATTATGAGAAATGGAGAAAGGTATTGCAATTAATGGTGTAAGATCAATAGCAATTTATAAAAGACAATTAATCAATAATTATAGTTTTATTCTTTATGAATTTTTCTAAGGAAAGTTGACCTGTACGTATTTGTGTGTCTGTATATGAGCTGACTAATTTTTGTATGTTTGCAAAGATGCTGATTATTATTATTATTAATTTATTTTTTTGCTGTCTGGCTGGTACAGGGATTGAGCGACATTGGTGTTAACCAGCACCACCCTCTAACCAACTGAGCCAGCTGGCCAGACCAATTACGTTAAGTTTTTAATCTTGACTTTTAGTCTGAAGCACTTTTTTGAGGGAGGGAGGGAACAAATTACTTTGTCTTATTTGGATAAAGCAGTGTGTCTTACCAGTCTTTTGGAAAATTAAAGGAAACTGTTGATAAAGAACTAGTAAGCCCCACATCTGGAATTTGACTATCCTTTTTAGACCCATTGTTGGTTTAATTAATATTACTGATTGTTGGTCTTTAAATAAGCTATACATCTTTTTAATAAATTTCAAGGCAAAGTCTTGTTTTTTTTTGGACAGCATATTAGTCAGGGTTTGCCAGAGAAAAAGAACCAATAGAGGGTGTGTGTGTATGGAGAGAGAGAGAGAGAGAGAGAGAGGGAGGGAGGGAGAGAGAAAGGGAGAGATGCATTCATTTTAAGGAATTGGCTCATATGATTGTGGAGGTTGGTGAATCCAAAGTCTGCTGGGGTTGACTGGCAGGTTGGAGATGTAGGCAAGAGTGGCAGTCCAAGTGCAAAAGCCATCTGCTGACAGAATTCCTTCTTGCTTGGAGATCAGTCTTTGCTCTATTAAGGCTTTCAACTGATCGGATGAGGCCCATCCACATTATGGAGGGCAATCTGCTTTACACAAAGTCTGCCTACTTAAATGTTAATCTCATCCAAAAACACCTTCACAGAAACATCCAGAATAATGTTTGGCCAGACATCTGGGCAGTGTGACCTGGCCAAATTGACACATAAAATTAACCATCACAGATAATAAAGTAATATCAGAAGCAGGAAATGCCAGTGTTTTTATCTTTATGGCAACTGAACCATGGGGCAAGTGATGGGATGATGGCTGAGGACATGTGCTTCCTGGACATCCTGAGATGTCCCTGGATGATGCATCCCAGGCAGTTTGTGTGGGGGAAGCAGTCTGAGGAGTGGACATTCATCTCTCCATTCGCAGACGTCCTTGATACAGAATGGTGATCTGAGCTTTGATACTAATTTTTCTGACAGGAACATTTTTGCAAATGCACTTTAAATGGAAATAAGTAATGAATAAATCATGAGGTAGGCTTTGTTGACATTAATAAAATGTGGTAGGTGAGTTCAGCGAGCACATGTTCTCTGTCATCTGTCAGACCTGTGTGAGGGGCTTGCTCTGTGCAGAAGGGTGTCTGGGTAGCAACCTGTGCTTACTTTCATCAGTAGGCAGCTCAGATGGTTTGTCTTCTGGTTCCCATGGCATACTAAACAAACAAAAGACTTTTAAAATGTATATTGTCCTGTAGGGGATGATAGGATGCAGGACTGCAAGGAGAAAGAAAAGAGCGGGTCTATGGACAGGTGGATCCCAAGGAGAGAGGAGAGAGCACGAGGGGAGGAATACGGCACCCGCCACCAGTTTCACTCTTAAGAGCAGTGCTCATAGGATATCTATTATAGCCTTTGTGGGTAATTCCACAAAAGATTATTTCATACCTTAATTCATTGACATGACAAAGTGTTACCGTGTCAGCAAAACAATGCAAGTTTACTTCAGAAAGTTTGTGGAAAAATAGAATTAAAAGATAATATTAATCTGTTTATGAACTTTTTGAAGTACTTTTGTATTTCTTTAATAAGCAATAAATTTGCTAGAAAGGTTTTCAAAGTGGGACTGCTTGATATTTGTGCACATTGACACTCTTCAGGTTAGCAGAGCACTTTCTCTTTCTACTAGTAGAAA